TATATATATATATAAATTATTCTACCAAACCCATAAAATAATCTCTAACTCATATTAGTGAGGTGTTCGCTCCATATTATATCTTATCATCCCTTCTTCTCCTCAATCATTAGAGAGCTTTTGTCCACCGTGCACTGCAGTAGATATAATTTTTTGTGGCAATGCCCCTTCTTTACCTTCTTTTTCACTTTTTCTCTCTCATTCTTTTTCTTCTTTCTCATTTCTTGTGGTTTTTATTTTTCATCTACAAGTGTGATGAAAAAGAAGCAGCAGTGGAAACGACACAAAGGTGCATGAGTGCGACAGAAGCGCGCAAGTGCAAAAGAGGAGCCTGAGTGTAGATCGTCACGCAACGAAACACGAGTATGGTTCGCGACAATGTGCAAGAGCGAACTACGACACGACCACAGAGGTGTCCACGTGAACTATCACACCACTCTTTTCAATTTCTTCTTCCTAAGAAATGCACATGATTTCAAATTTGAAGGTTCTAATTTGACACAATTCAAATTAAAAATTAAATTTCTTCATCTCGTTCTAATATTTGATTTGTGATCTATTTGATCTTATGGCAACCATAGTAGAGGTTGTGGTGGATATAGACATATCTACAGTGTTGGTGGCAAAGGTGATTAAGGGAAAGGGTGACGAAGAGAATAAAAGTTAAAGAGATTCCTATATCTCCAAAATGACTTCCAAATCATCCTTCGAAACATTAAAGTATTGATATTTTTTAATAAATTTATTATAAAATAATTAATTTTTTTAATATTTTATAATTTAAATTAAATTTTAATGATTTAAAATTATTTTCAAAACGTTGTTTCAGACAATTTATCATTTTTCAAAGTAATATTATAGTCGTCCGTAGAATCTATGGTAATATACAATAATTTTAATCTAAAAATTAGGATTGGACAAAATTAACTAAATTAAACTAAACTATTAAATAACTGAATTATTTTAAACTAAAAAATTGAAACTATTTAAAATAAAACTGAATTAAATTATTTTCTAGTTTAGTTTTTTAAAATTGAATTTATTAAGTTATAGTTCAGTTTATTGTAATTAACTAAAAATAAAAAATAAAAGCACTACACGGGCGCACAGCACAGGTCGGGGTTTCACTTTGCAAATTTTTTGCAAGGGTCTTCAGTCTTCACACACTAGCCACCGCACGGTTCCTGATTCCTTACTACAGATTCCTTCTTCCTCAAGCACCGACCACGGATTCTCTCTTCTTTCTTCATTGTAAGGTTCACTTTTTTTATGTAAAATTTCATCTGGGTATCCCTTTTTCCCTAAATTTTTGTTTTTGTTTTTTTATTTCTTTGTTGATTCCCTAGTTGCAATTAGTTTCATGTCTGTGCTCCTTATCGCAAGTTAGCAACAAGCTTTTACTCATTCTCTTCGATATAAAAACACTCCAACACAAACAACTAAATTTATTGTCCTTGTTTTTTCCTTCCAAACTATTCCAAAGACATTGTAGAATTAATGCCTATTTTCCTTTATATTTCTACACATTCTCCACCAAGATTTGCCCAACTCCAATTGCTCTGGCCTGTGGGGTTGCATTTGCCATATTTATGATAAAATCACAATAATTATCTATGGAGACTTTATACCTTTTAATTTAATAACAATTGTTAATCCTTAGAATAAATTTGGCAAAATAGAGAAGCAAAAAAAGTGAATATTCTTCGATTATAATTAAAATTTCATTCCCATAAATTGTTTGATAATG